GAAAGAGGGAGGGAGGAAGAGAAAGAAAGAAAGAATGAATTGAAGAAAGGAAGATTATATTCCTCTCCGTTCACAAAACTCCAGTTGTGACCCCTTCTCACTCAAAGTAAAATTGCCCAAGTGTTTGCCATGACCCTAAAGCACTGCCTGATCTGGCCATGGCCACCTTGCTGACCTCATGTCTTACCACGCTCCTCCTCCTCCACTCTGCTCCATATGCTCCTGCCTCTTGCTGTTACTCAAACACACCAACCAGATCCCTACTTCTGAGCAGGAATAACCAATCATGACTGATAATGGTTTAATGCCACTCTCCTTAGGATGTTTACATTTGGCAAGGCTTTGGCTAAACGGGAAAACTTCTAATCATGGACCATTAAGCATTTCAGGAGACTATGCAGAAAGATTCTCAGGAGGAAGTAGCCCCTCAACCACATAGTTTGATTAGATTATGATATGACTCAGACATTACAAATTTCAAAATTGTGACTGTGTTAAAACGTTTCATTGGACTTTAGAACTAATCACCTTTCCCAGTTCTCCTTTTCCCATTATTCTTTAACAGTCATAAATAATAACTTCTGCTTTTCCTTTTCACCTTGCCTTTAAAGAGGTCATGCAATCAACATCGACTTTGGGTGGAGTTTATAAAATGCAAGTTTCAGAGACAAATATTTACTTCTACAGGTAACCAGTACTGGAATTGCCAGTACCTAGAAACCTCTCTTCTTTGTAAAGGATTATCACCTGATCAGGTTCTCTCTGTATTGCCCCTTTAGCTTGTGAAATGTGGCTCAGGGTTTTTACAGCTTTCCTTTTCTTCTCAGCAGGTGCTTGCTTGGGGCTGAAGGTGACGGTGCCATCACACACCATCCATGGCATCAGGGGTCAAGCCCTCTACCTCCCTGTGCACTATGGATTCCACACTCCAGCATCAGACATCCAGATCATATGGCTGTTTGAGAGACTCCACACGATGCCCAAATATTTACTGGGCTCTGTGAACAAGTCTGTGGTTCCCGACTTGGAATTCCAACACAAATTCACCATGATGCCACCCAACGCCTCTCTGCTCATCAACCCACTGCAGTTCACTGATGAAGGCAATTACATCGTGAAGGTCAACATTCAGGGAAATGGAACTCTATCAGCTAGTCAGAAGATTCAAGTCACTGTTGATGGTAAGTCCACTGTATGTGCGTGGGCAGCTGAGGGCACAGCAGTTAGCAGTGGCTCGGGAGATTAGACTACCTGGGCTTCAGGTCCTAACTCTGCATCTTGGGGCAAATTAATTCACCATCAAAGCCTCAGCGTCTCATGGCATGAATGACATTATCTACCTCATGAGACTTCCTGAGGATTAAGTAAGACATGTACGTAAAGGATATGCATAGTGCCCAGCTAAAGGTAAGCAAGAAGTAGAACTTGTTATTTGTTTGCCTGGAAGCTGTCAAGTATGAAGTTGGTGATATAATGAGATGGGGAAAATTTTAATTCTCATTAGAAGAATGCACCCTGGGAAGAGCCTTATTTTTGTCACATAAAGATTTTTTTCTTTAATTTTGGTACTCTGGGGGAGAATGAGACTCGCTCGATGATCATAGTTAAAAAATAATAGAAGTTGCTGGGAATGTCCTCTCAGGGAGAGTGGGGGTCAGCTACCTCAGACATTTATTTTCCTTATTGTGGTATGTAAGTGGCATACCTTAAATATACTGTGTCCAAAGCCCAACTTCTGATTTTTCCCTCTAAACCTATTTGTTTAACAGTATTTCTCCATTTTAGCAAATACCAACTTCATTCTGTCAATTGCTCAGGCCAGAACCTTGCCATCACCCTTGACTAATCCAGTCTACAAGTTAACCCTGTCAGCTTTACCTTCAAAACATGGCCAGAGTTGAGTCACTTCTCACCACCCGCACTACCACCCAGCTCAGCCCTACCATCAGCTCTGGCCCGTACTGTCCTAACAGCCTGCTGCCTACTCTCCCTGCTTCTACTCTGCCTCCTGCAGCTTAAAATCCTCCCATAGCTTCCTCTCTCATTCACAGTAAAAGCCAAAGTGCTAACAGTGTCCCACAGGGCCCAACATGATCCCCCAATACACCCAGTACCTCCGTGACCCCATTTCCTACCTCTTTTTCCCTCACTCCCTCTGTTCCGACCTCACTGGCCTCCTTGCTCTCCCTGGAACAGGCTGAACTCACTCACACCGCAGGCCTTTGTACTTGACTAATTTGCTCTACCTAGGTTGCTCTTCTCCTAGACAATAGCGTGATTCCCTCCCCAATTTCTCTTCAGTCTCAGCAGAAGTATCACTCTATCTGTGAAGGCTTTCCTGATCACCTGCTGTAAAGTATAATCTCACTACCCCAAACAGACAGAGAGAAGGAGAGTTACTATTTATCTTGTGTTCTGTTTTATTCTTTTCATAACACATATTTCCACCTGAATGTATTATATATTTTTACTTATTCATTGTTTCTCTTCCCTGCCTGGAAGGCAAGATCCATGGGAGCGGTGCTTTGTGTTGTTCACTGCTGTGTCCTCACTGCCTAAACCCTGATGCTGGCCATTCATAAGCACTCAGTAAATATGTGTGCAGTAATTGAGTGGGAACTGGAGAGACTGACTGCAGGAGAACAGAGACACAGGATGTGGCAGCAGATGCCTCGAAAACAATTTTAGGGAGAGAAAAGGAGGACATTTTCATGAAATTCCCCTGAGTAATAGCCACTCTTGCCCTCAGACTTTTAATAGGACATCCATTACTTGTTTTTTTTTAAACACTTTTTTATTGATTTATAATCATTTTACAATGTTCTGTCAAATTCCAGTGTAGAGCACAATTTTTCAGTTATACCTGAACATATATATTCATTGTCACATTTTTTTCTCTGTGAGCTACCATAAGATCTTGTTTATATTTCCCTGTGCTATACAGCATAATCTTGTTTATCTATTCTACAATTTTGAAATCCCAGTCTATCCCTTCCCACATCCCTCCTCGGCAACCACAAGTTTGTGTTCTATGTCTGTGAGTCTATTTCTGTTTTGTATTTATGCTTTGTTTGTTTGTTTTAGATTCCACATATGAGTGATCTCATACAGTATTTTTCTTTCTCTTTCTGGCTTACTTCACTTAGAATGACATTCTCCAGGGACATCCGTGTTGCTGCAAATGGCGTTACGTTGTCGGTTTTTATGGCTGAGTAGTATTCCATTGTATAAATATACCACATCTTCTTATCCAGTCATCTGTTGATGGACATTTAGGCTGTTTCCATGTCTTGGCTATTGTAAATAATGTTGCTATGAACATTGGGGTGCAGGTGTCATCCTGAAGTAGGAGAACATCCATTACTTGTTAATTTGTAGTAAAATTGGATCTGTTTAGGGAAATGCATCCAAAGGTCTTTTTTTAAAAAAAAAATTTATTGAGGTATAGTTGATTTACAATATTATATTGTTTTAGTATAAAATATGGTGATTCAAATTTTTTTATAGATTATGCTCCATTTATAGTTATAAAATATTGGCTGTATTCCCTGTGCTGTACAATATATACTTGTAGCTTATTTATTTTATAGATAGTAGTTTGTACCTCTTAATAACCTACTCTTATGTTGCTCCTCCCCCCACAACCAAAAGGTCTTAATAGGAGTGTAGGGCCTGTGTAAAAAATCTTCTCGGAAAACTTTCACATCTGAGTTACACTGTTAAATGCAAGTGTATGAGCATAGTACCAATGTCTACTCTAATGACCGGTTCTCCCCATACAAGACCTTCACATGACCTATTTGACTTATCCCATACCACATGTATTTTCACACGAGGGCATATTTGAAACATAAGCCTTTTCTACGTAACAAGTGTACCAACTCATTTTTCTTTTAAAATCATAATATTGTAAATGAAAGCTATTCCAAATCCTTTATTCTTGCCAGGGAATATAAAGGATTAAATTGAGTGGACAACTTGATTGTACCCATCTTGCGAAAGGCTGGAGGCTTCAAAATCACTCATCTCCCCTGGAAGTTGCCTTCCAACCTCCTTTGTCCTTATCTTTCATTTTCTCCAATCTTCTCTAGGCTGAAGGATTGGGTCCGTTTGTGCCCTAATGCACATTTTCCAGTGCAGAAAAAATGTAAGCATGAGTCAAGACAAATTTACTTGAGAAGATGCGTCAACCCCAATTAAAAGCTTGATAAGAAATTGAAAGCTAAACATTGGAGCCAATTGTCTATTACTTATATATCATCTCACTCTCTGTGTGCCCTGTAATCATGCATAGAAGGAGATTACTAGAGGCTTTGATTTGTTAGAGTGACTAACACGGTACAGTGACTGACAGTGTTACAATACAAATGCACAGCAATTAAAACGTATAATTAGTTCACTTACACAGAAGGAAAAGTAAATGGGGCAAATATGATTCTCTAAAACTTTCTCTCAATCACCCCAAAGTACAATATACATAAGCTTTATATTTTTCAGATGGTGAGTAGAAATTTGGGTTCACCACATCTATCGCAACCAGCTGCTCTTGGGACATTAGGACAAGTCAAGAAAGGGGAGTAACTATTGTGAACTTTGCCTGGGAGAGTCTACCTTTATGGTGTTGGGGGAGAGCACAATGAACAGGAGATAAGGAAGCAGACGTTCTCTACCACTAACTGCATTATCTAAAAAGTAAAGGTTTTCATTAGAAAATCCTTGAAGAGTAAGTTCTGGAATCAGTTCTCTCTGCTATACATGATTTTTTATATATTTTATCATTTTGCATTTACCATGACTTTTTTATTCTCTTATTATTTCCTGAACTGTCTCCATTTATAAAGCGTAGAACTTTGGAATTATTTCCCTTGAATTTAATATTTGAAAGACCTCATAGACTTTTACTGTAATTCTGTGGTGGTAAAAATCATTTCTGTGCATTTTGATGTTGCAGATCCTGTCACAAAACCAGTGGTGCAGACTCAGCCTTCCTCTGGGGTTGTGGAGTATGTGGGAAACATGACCCTGACATGCCTCGTGGAAGGGGGCACCCGGCTGGATTACCAGTGGCTAAAAAATCGGAGACCTGTTCACACCAGTTCCACCAACTCCTTTTCTCCCCAAAACAACACCCTTCGTATTGCTCCAGTGACCAAAGAAGACATTGGGAATTACAGTTGCCTGGTGAAGAACCCTGTCAGTGAGATGGAAAGTGACATCATTACACCTACCATATATTGTAAGTGTTTTTAAAAATACATGTGTGCATGAATTTTCTTCTGGGAAGTTTTCATGGGAGTAGTCACAGAGAATATCAACACCAGATGTCATTTGGTTGTCACCATTACTGTAATGCAGCCCTAGCTGCAACTACACTTCCTAGGTGCTGGCTTGTCATGAAGTATAGTCACTTGTACAACTCTGTTTCTTGAAGATCAAGTTGAAATGCTGACCTCTTATGATATATTTTCTGACTCAGTCCATTGTGTGACCTTATTTCCAGTGGAAAGTAGGAACCTCAATTTCAAGGACCCAAAACCATGTAGAAGGCACTAATTTCTTGCCTAATTTCTTCAAGGAGGAAGAGTTGTTCTTCATGAACGGGGAGAGGGATGTGCTCTGTGGCTGACCACAGGGAGAAAGAATGTCCCTGGGTTGTGTGTGGTTAGTGTGGCCCAGGGCATGACTGTTTTCTCTGCCTATTTTCTCAGCTCTGTTTTTAGAAGCAGGTGCAGAGAGGATCACAGAGAAAATGTAACTATTCTGCAGTAAGGTATTCACGTTCCCAGAGAATCAGTAATTGTTTCAGATTTCAGTATTCTTTGGTTCTTTTTTCTGTGGCTGTATTTGCTATTGTAATTGTGGTTGTTTAATCTCACATACAAAGTTAAGTCCACCAGACTTTTCAGTTCATGTCATATTATCGTCACCAACCCAAGCAAGAGCTCTCTTTCTTTATTGTTTTATTTTTCTCAGTCCCCTCTACTCCAAAGCACCACTTATAATATGTTCAACATTGCATTCTAATTTCAGCTTCAAACAGAGTTTCTGAACCTCCACACTAGTGACATTTTGACAACTGTCCGGTGTGGGGACTTGTCCTATGCATTCGTTATAGGATGTTTAATAGCATCCCTGGCATCTACCCACTATATACCAGTAGCACCCTCTTCTTCAAGTGTGACAACCAAGAATGTCTCTGACGTTGCCAGAGTTCCCCTGAGTGGGAGGGAAGGAGAGTATTGTGTGCAAAATCTCCCAGAGTTGAACTGATGGCTTATCACATTGGAAGTCATTTAATTGGTTACCATTGTCGCTGAGAGCACAGCCACAATGGCAGCGTAACAAAACAAGTAAGGCATAGCAGAGGAAAACCAACTTCCTACCCTGTGGTGAGAGGGTGGAGGTTTCAACTAGTTGAACCACAAGGGTGGAATTAAGGCTCGTAAATATATCCGCTCACTCACCAAATATGTCTACGTAATGTTCAGAAAGGCCCTAAAGCCTAGTGTTTAAGTGCTTAGGAGGTAGACAGACCTAAGTGTGAAGCAGGTTCTATCATTACCCATGTGACCATAAGAAATCCCTTGGCCTTTCTGAGCCTCATCTGTAAAATGGAGATCATTAAAACTCCTTCACCACACTGCTGTGGTTAAATGAAGTACTGCCTGAAAAATAATCAGTGACTGACACCAAACAAGCGTTCAGTAAATGAAGGTATCTGTATTATCAATGCATCTGTATTCTGTTTTCTTCAGTAGAAAATTGATAGTCTTCTTGAGGAAGTGTGTTATTAATTCTTTGGGGGGAAAAGATCACCTGCATATGTACAAAATGTAGGTTTTTTTCAACTAGATAAAGCCTAACAATAAACCCCAGAAATGGGGCAGAAAAAGCAACTTCTGGAAAGTGGAGAACAATGGTATGAGACAGGTATACAGTAAGGTCTGCTTGAACCAGCAAAGTTAAGCTAAGGAAAATGAAACTATTAAATCTTGAAACTAAAGCTCTCCTATATTTTAGCAGAAGTGAGAAAATGTGCACAATAAAACATATGAGGTAGGATGTCATAGATACCATAGGGAAGCTCTCAAAGGAGCATAATCTCTAGACACAAGAACTCTGGAGCCAGGAGACCTGGCTCTACTACCTTACCTCTCATGCACCTCAGTTTCTTCATCCATATAATGGTGACATTGATAGTCCTTACTTCATAGAATTATTGTGAGGATTAAACCTGTTACTGTATGTAAATTGCTTAGAACAGTGACTGCCCCATAGTAAATACTATATAACTGTTGGCCATTTTTATCACTATAATATTATGAGTTTATGGGAATTCAGAGAAAGAAAACTACTTCTAGCTGGAGAGAAGGCTTATTGCAGAAACTGACATTTGAGATGAACCTTGAACAATGGGTATGATTGGGGCAAGTGGCAATGTCTTGAAAAACCATTTCAGGCAATAGGGACAGCAGGCACAGACACTAAGCAGAAGTCAGAGTATTTAGTGAATGGACTAGTTGGCTAGAGTGTAGGATACAGCAGGTAGACTAGATGATTAAATAGGTAACAGGTTCTCTGCCCCCACCCCCCCCAAAAGTAGAGCATTCCTATGAAACCTTGTGTAAACTGAAATGGTGTAAAGTGAATAAGCAGTTACCTTAGGACATGTCTTGCTAACGGATATACAAAATAAATGGAGATGAAGCACAGGTGCTCACAGAGACAGTTCAAATCTATGGAGGCTGGATGCTGAGATGTGAGTGTAGTTTCCTGGGAAGGAGCCTGGTGGTGCCACTTCCGCTGCTAGGTTGTGTGCTGCCTCTATAAGGGCTCTCGCAGAACAAACGCCGAATGCTATATTTTGCTTTTCACCTTTTTTCATGAAAGCAAAAATCCTCTCCTGATTTCTTTTGGTCAGCTAAAACAGAAACTACTGTAGGTCTTTCATAAAAGTGAAGTGATGTAAAGCAAAGTTTTGAAAATCAGGGAATACTTGTATACTTGAGTCAGATTACAGAGAGCTTTGAATGTCAGGCGTTATTTGGCAAACAATGAGGAAAATTATTTTTTAAACAAATGTCCAAATTTTAAAAACAGTAGAGAATGTTTTGTAAATAAATACACACGTATTCTAGACTAAATCAAGAAATATTTGTCAAGAGAGCACTTTTTCAAGATAGATCACAAATGTCATACAATTATAGAAAGAGTATGTATAGGAAGGAAAAAAAGGGAGATAGGATATATTTTATTAGTTCATAGTATAGAGAAAAAAGTCACCAATTTTTAACTACATACAGTGATTAAACATGTCTAAAAGCAATTTTAAAGCATTTTTTTCTGAGAAATATTGTTCACATGGAAATAGAAAAAACTTCATACATTGATTGTGTAATTCAGCTTTGGTGTAGGGGAACCCAAAGATGATTAACTACTAGTCCAACCTAGTTCAGAATTCAGTGTCTCAAAGATGAGCCTTTCCCTTCACACATAAACAGAAGAAATTATATTAAAAAGTGCCAAAGAAGAAGGAAATTGTAGGTTTTCACTGAAAAACACCAAAACACCACTCACTGCAAGCAAATTGTACAAGATTTATTACAATCATTAGTTATACTGTGTTTCACAATGGTACTGTTTTTATAGCTGAACTTTTAGCTATATTTTTGCAGTAGTTTTACATAAACTTATATTCAGATAACATTGTGCTGCCTTAAAGCACCAGCGGAGAAATAGATTTACAAAGTATAAACTGTGACTATCTGCACAACCAGCATTGAATTGGAGTGAAAAATTTAGATTTGGCATGGTCCATTTATACATGTAGTCATATTCTTGACAGAATAAGGTTATTCTGACATGAATTAAAACTTCCATTCAATTCCAAGTAGCACAAACCTAACCATTCAAGTTACTTAAACACAGTGAAAGAAAATGTGAGCAGACAAAGCAAATCAAATCTAGGGCTATGTAAATACATCTTTCCATTATTCTTGACTGTTTGGTCTAAATGGTTTACTTTCACATAGAAAAGGTACAAAATGCAAAACAAGTTATTAAACCAGCCAGATTTATCTACTGAATATTTATCCGTAGGAACCATTATTCAGTGTGGTAAGAGACAGCAGGAAGTAAGATTGTGTTGGAGCAGTCTTTGTTAACTGAAAAAAACCTGATCATATTTTGTTTCAATCACTTGCTCTAGTAAATGTCGTGTCCTTTGGAGAGTGCAGCAGATAGCACAGTGCTGTGAGCCTCAGCTGTCAATTCAGACCGCCTGAGTTAAAGCCTTGGTTCTGCCATTATCACTCTGTGTGTCAGTTTCCTCATCTCCTTATCTACATTGTCCCAGTGTAAAGCTAATACCTATCTCTGGAGGGATGGGAAGGATTAAGTGAGATTTTGTGTGTAAACAAGGCAGTGAGTGGCACATAAGAAGAACTCAGTAATGTTTGCTCTTTTGCTTTTCCTCTTCTCTTTTCTTTCTTGTTTTTTTTCCCTTAAAGCCAAAACTATACTGACTTAACATGACAGGAGAGCCTGGGTGATTTAGAACATACCTGCAAAGAGAAAACTGAAAGAATACATTGAAAAGAACTTTGTTCTTCCTCAGATGTTGCCATTATTTAACACATTTTCTTTTTCTACATGAAAATATTTTCTTTACATCACTTCTTTCTTATAGCTATTTATCTCACCGTGTATCCACCTATCTTTAAACTTTAGCCATAAATGAAAAATTCCTGGGGGAAATTGCATAAACAATTACAGGAACATGAAAATGTCATTTGCATCTCAAAATGCACTTTTGTTTTGCTATACAGTTCAGTTTAATCTGGCAAAGTGAAAATAAGATCTTTCTTTCAGCATGTGCAAGGTCATGCCCCAGTCTTATTATTAACACAAAACATGGTGATACACAGTGTGTAAAGTGCTGAAATGGGGGGGGGAACCATAGTCACACTGTAAGTGTTAGATACTGCGCTTTACACTCCTAAATCTTTCCTTTCCTGTGTTATTTGAAAGAATTAAAATATCCCCATCTGAGTAAATTCAGATGTCAGAGAACATATAATACATTTATAGACTGAACTTTCTTCTTTACATTCCTTTAGACATAGTCTAAAGGATCTTACAGAGAAATGTCTGTCATGAGTAAAAACTAATGGCAGGTAGTAGAAAGAAGAACAGTTAGAAAAATTGTAAATGTGGGTTCCATTTACACATCTTAAA